TACTCCAGCACAGACTTCCGTGCAGAAAGAGACAGAGGGAGCGAGCGGACATCTGGGCCAGCAAACAAAACCTTTCCCGAAGCCTTGGCCACTTTCATCAGCATCGCAGGGCAGCACCGGGTCACGGGGCCGCTCCCGGCAGCACAGGGGGCCTGTGAGTGGTCTCTGTTCTGGTTTTTTGCCTTTAAGTTAGGGGTGTTTTCTCCCCGCACAAAATGCAGTAGTAGAAAATGAGAGAATCCTTCTAAGGTAGGCCACTTGCAGAGTGGCCACAAACACGTTGAAAAACCAAGTCACTCCCATGGAACCCACTCCTTCACTGCAATTTCACTCCGATTCGGTGTTATTTGGGAGAAATCAATCATCACAGCCCTTCGACTGCTCACAAAGCAGGTGGCTGGATGGTGAAGAAGTAAAATGTGCTTCCAGCTCAAGTCCCAGCGGCTCTGCTTCCCATCCAGCTCCCTGCTGATGCGCCTGGGAAGGCAGCAGAGGAGGGCCCAAGTGCTGGCTTTGACCTGGTCCAGCCCCTGCCATTGCAGCCATCTGGGGAGTGAACCAGCAGATGGAAGATCTCTCTCTCTCTCTCTCTCTCTCTCCTCTCCCTACGTGTATGTGTCACTCTGCCTTTCTGATAACTAAAAATTATCTTTTTAAAGTGACACGGGCTCAGTCTTGCCCCCGCCGCTGGTTGGGATGTTGTCAGAACTGAGCTCCCCACACAGAGCACCGCCTCTCCGAAGAGCAGGGCTCGCTCGTGAGATGAAAGGTGGGCACGTCCCCACGCTTCTCCCTCTTCCTCCTCAGGGCATCCTGGAGCGCCTGGACAGCGGGGAGGTCATCGTGGGAGATGGCAGCTTCCTGATAACGCTGGAGAAGCGGGGCTACGTGAAGGTCGGGCTCTGGACGCCCGAGGCCGTGGTAGAGCACCCGAGTGCAGGTCAGTGCCCCGGCCCAGGGCCCTAGCTCCTGCTGCTCCCCAACACCTGCGCCAAAAGCAAGAAATGACAGGGTCTCTTCCCCTGCCATACGTGGTGTGGGGACAGCGGTGGGGGCGCTGGCGCCACTCTCCCCTGACCCCTGCACACACACACACATGCACACACACCCACCTGCACGTCCACGCCCTGACAGCCTCTCCAGGAATGGCCACCTTGTGATGGCCGCACTGTCACCTGCAGGCCCCAGAACCAGCTCACTGGTCACCACCACTCTGCAGGCCCACTGCCAGGGAGCCCTGCTGGGGTGTGAGAGCAGAGGCAGAGCCAGGCCCCCGTCCTCCTGCTGGGAAGTCAGATGGTGATGGGACCGGGTAGCCCTGTAGGACGGGAACTGCTCTTCTCCACTGGTCTGCTGTGCTTGGTCCCCTGCCACTTCAGCCAACGCTGAATGCCCAAGGCAGCATCCACACTGCCAGGGAGCTCACCCTGACTCAATGCCCAAATGCCTGGGGTCAGACAGGCAGGTCCTGCCTCTGCTCTTCCCCGCACAGCCCCATGCACCCCTACACACCCCTACATACCACTATGCAACCCTACACACCCCTACATAACCCTACCTACCACTATACACCCCTACACAGCCCTGTGCACCCCACACACTCCTATGTACCCCTACACAACCTTACATACCATATACATCCCTGCACACCCCTATGTACTCCTTTGCACTCATACACACCCCTATTTACTCTTACATACCCCTACACAATCTTACACACCCCTACAAACTGTACCCACACCTGGACATTTCTACACAAGCTTACACACCACCACACACCCTAGCGAACCTTAGATACTCCTATACATCCCTACCCATCCTTACACAACCATATGCACCCCACATACCCCATGCAAGCTTACACACCCCTACACAACTGTATGCACCCCTACATGCCCCAATACACCCCTACACACCCCAACATACCCCTACACATTCCTACAAATCCCTACGTATTCCTACACATCACTATGCACCCTACACACCCCTATGCACCCCTACACACCTCTACATGCCCTTATGCATCCCTACCACCCCATGCAGCTGTACACACCCCTACACAACCTTACACACCACCACACACCCCTACTGAACCTTACATACTCCTATGCAACCTCTGACACTGTTCACGCTAAGTGCCCGTGTATCTAACACTCCTGCGTTCCTCCTGGCCTGAATGCCACGACCCCACTCTGGAACCTCCCCGGGCTCTGGGTCGGGAGGGTGGAGGGGCTGCCGCCACGGCCCACACCCCTGGGACCCTGACCTTTCCATCTCCATGTGAAAACCTCTGGCCCGAAGTTCGCCAGCTGCACACGGAGTTCCTGAGAGCCGGGGCCGACGTCATGCAGACGTTCACCTTCTCTGCCAGTGAGGAAACCATGGAAAGCAAGGTGACCGACCGAGTGTCCCCGCGCCCCGCTACACACGGTCGGAAAACCCCGATCCCTTGCCCCGCAGGGCAAGGCCACGGGGAGCGCACCACCTCCCTGGGTGCTGCCTCGTGGAGAGGGGACACACAGAGGGTGCCCTGGGCCTCCTCATCCTCCCCACCCTGCCCCACACCTGCCCTGTCTGCATCTCCACACTACTGTGCCAGTCGCTCGGCTGCCGTGGGCTCTGCTTCTCTGTCTGCAAAGTGAGGAGACGGCAGGGCTGCAGCTCCTCGGGCAGGCGAGGTGAAGGGGGCAGCGTGTGTCCCTGTCGATGCCGTAGCTTCACTCAACCCGGTGAGTGCGTGCCATGTCCCTTGGTTGTAGCCCGCGCACCTGGTGCAGGGCATTCTCTCTGCTAGAGGCTCACGGTCAGGCATGGGAGGCCGAATCCACAGGGCTGGACACCCACTGGGGAGAGTGCGGTGATGGAACCAGGAGGACCCCAGCCCTGCCGCTCCTCGCCCTGCGGTTCCAGCGCAGTTGCTACCCCCTCATGCCACCCTGCCTCCCTGTTGAGCCCTTGGCACGTATCGCACCATGCATTCAAATGCCAGCCTCGCCCTCCACCCGCAGTGGGAAGCCGTCAACGCCGCTGCCTGCGACCTCGCCAGGGAGGTGGCCAGCCAAGGCAATGCTCTGGTGGCAGGGGGCATCTGCCAGACCACAGTGTACAGACAGCACAAGGACGAAGCTAGAATCAAGAAGCTTTTTCAACTACAGATAGAGGTATTTGCCAGGAAGAACGTGGACTTCTTGATCGCAGAGGTAAGCCTTGTGGGGGACAGATGGAGCCGGTTTTGACCAGTACCCGTGCCTAGTCTCCAGCGGGCACTGGGCAGCGGCCTGCCCTACGCCCTAGTTCCTCCATTTGGGCGGTCAAGGCCGTTGTACACGAGGTCCTCTGTGAGGCCAAAGGACAGATCTGGGCGGGGGGGAGCTCTGGTTTCCTAAGCCCTGGGTGGCTGCAGCAGCCACTTCTGGGGGCCCTGCCTCCCCTAGGGTGAGAGGAGAGGGACAGTGACCCAGGGAGCAGGAGCAGAGCCCAGGAGGTGGGGGCTGTGAGGCTCCCATGGCCTGCAACAGCACTGGATAGCGAGAAGTGTCCTTACCTGCCCCACCAGCCTTGGTTATTTGCTCAAATGTGGACAGCTCCAGAACAAAGAGACGGGAAGGGGGACGTCCTCTCCTCTCCAGCCCCAAACAGAAGTCCTGTGCCCCATTGCTCAGCGCTGTCCCTGCTGCCTGGGCCAAGCCCTCAACCAGCTCTCATCTGTAGCTGCAGCTCTGAGGGACGTCCAGCCCTGGCTGTCGCAGGCATCTGGGGAGTGAACCAGTGGGTGGAGGAGCTTGCGCTCTCTCTCTGCCTTTCAAATAATTAAATGCATAACATTCTACCCTGAAGAAGGAAGCAGCATCTAGCCTGTGTTGCCCCGCGTCCTCTGGGGACCCAGGACAGCCTGCAGGGCATACGCCCTGGCGGCATCTGCTCTGCGCCGTCCTGTGCCCAGAGGAGAGACACACTGATATCTGCTGACTCTCTGCGTCTCCTAAAGTCAGCTTTTCCCTGGTGGCCTTGGGATTCCGAGGCAGGACCGCAAAGGACACAAACGCCCACGCAAGGCACCCTGTCCACAGCCGGCAAAGCAAGCACAGGGCCTCGGCTGCTCTGTGTCTGCCCCTCCCACCCGGCACAAGCTGAACGTGAGGCAGCTGGAGTGTCCAGCACACAGAAAGACAAACGGCTCTTCTCTGCAGAGGTCACCCAGCGTGGGAAACGAGGCTGAAGTGTATCAGTAAAATTGTCATTCCTTCTAAACAGATTCTCGATTACCCTAAACATCTCTGATTTCTGTTTTTGACAAAAGTCGTCATCTCTCTGAATTCACGATCCCTCGTGAAAACCTCCCGTCGTCGGGGGAGGGATGCACACACGACTCGGAGGCGTCCCTTGTCCGTGGGACAGAGGCTGCTTGCCCAGCGGGGCTCAGCCCCGGCTGCGCGTGGGTCGTTCCGACGACCCTCCTGCAGCGTGTGCTTTCTCCTGTAGTACTTCGAGCATGTCGAAGAAGCCGTGTGGGCTGTGCACGTCCTCCGGGCAGCCGGGAAGCCGGTGGCGGTGACCATGTGCATCGGGCCAGAGGGGGACATGCACGGCGTCAGCCCTGGCGAGTGCGCCGTGCGCCTGGTGCAGGCAGGTAACTCGCACACTTCCTGTGGCCACGCGACACGCCTACTGTGGGAGTCTTTACAAGAAGGAACTAGGATCAGTTGCCTTCTCTGTAGATCTAGGGAGGTGGAGGGGAGAACTAATGGCCAAGCTACACGGTAACTAGTTTTAAAAGCAGCAGCAGCTAGCGCCGCGCTCAATAGGCTAATCCTCCGCCTGCGGCACACCGGGTTCTAGGCCCGGTCAGGGCGCCGGTTCTGTCCCGGTTGCCCCTCTTCCAGGCCAGCTCTCTGCTGTGGCCAGGGAGTGCAGTGGAGGATGGCCTAAGTGCTTGGGTCCTGCACATGGGAGACCAGGAGAAGCACCTGGCTCCTGGCTTCGGGTCAGTGCGGTGCGCTGGCCACAGCATGCCAGCCACGGCGGCCATTGGAGAGTGAACCAACGGCAAAGGAAGACCTTTCTCTCTGTCTCTCTCACTGTCCACTCTGCCTGTCAATAAATAAATAAATAAATAGCAGCAGCACCAAGGGCTGGGGCTGGGGCTGGGGCTCAGTGGGTTAAGCCATAACCTGCAGTGCCTGCATCCCATATGGCCACTGGTTTGAGTCCCGGCTGCTCCACTTCCGATCCAGCTCCCTGCTAATGTGCCTGGGAAAGCAGCAGAGGATGGCCCAAGTGCTTGGGCCCCTGCACCCACATGGGAGACTCAGATGCAGTTCCAGGCTCCTGGCTTCGACCTGGCCCAGACCAGCCTACTATGGCTATTTGGGGGAGTGAACCAGCAGATGGAAGATCTGCCTTTCAAATAACTAAATAAACCTTAAGAAAAAAAAACAGCAAACAAATGACTAAGCCATGGAAGGTCAGAGGTCTTTGTTTGCTCGCAGGGGCCGACATCGTGGGGGTGAACTGCCGCTTCGGGCCCTGGACCAGCCTGGAGACCATGAAACTCATGAAGGAAGGGCTCCGTGCCGCGGGCCTGCGGGCCCACCTCATGGTGCAGGCCCTGGGGTTCCACACGCCAGACTGCGGCAAGGGAGGCTTTGTGGACCTGCCCGAGTACCCCTTCGGTAAGCTGCGGTGTGCACAGGGCCTCCGGTTTCCCGTGACGGAGTTCGTGGTCATCACAGGCCATGGTGCAGGGTTTTCGTGGGAAACTGCCCGAGGCAGGAGCCTCGTGTGGCCACCAGAGCCAGCTCTGAAAACTCTGTAATTCGTCATCGGCGGGTAGCGGGGGAGCCCAGCAGAGCACCTCTGGACCGTGCCTGAAGTGCCCTCGCTGTGCCTTGCAGGCCTGGAGCCCAGGGTGGCCACCAGGTGGGACATCCACAAGTACGCGCGCGAGGCCTACAACCTGGGCGTCCGCTACATCGGCGGCTGCTGCGGCTTCGAGCCCTACCACATCAGGGCCATCGCCGAGGAGCTGGCGCCCGAGAGGGGCTTCTTGCCCGCGGCGTCGGAAAAGCACGGCAGCTGGGGCAGCGGCCTGGACATGCACACCAAGCCCTGGATCCGAGCGCGGTGAGCGCGCGTGCGCCTGAGGAGAGGGGAGCGTGGGCGGGGTCGGGGCTTGGGCGGGGCGGGGCTTGGTGGGAGGGGCGGGTTCTGAGGGGACGTGCACACCAAACCCTGGATCTGAGCGGAGCGTGGTGAGCATGCATGCACCCGGGGAGAGGGCTGCGGGGGGGCGGGACTGGTGGGAGGGGCTTGGGCGGGGCAGGGTTGGTGGGAGGGGCGGGTTCGGAGCTGGACAAGCGCACCTAACCTTGGATCAGAGCCCAACAGCAATCTGAAAATTCATTTTTATATTTTCCTTAAATCTCTTTATACCTATTGCGTATGTGCATAGTAATGACATTTCAGAAAGCACAGAGGTATCCAAATGGAAGAGAAGCTTGACCTCCCCATACAACACCACCCCACCCCCACACGGGACAGCAGTGCAGCTCCACGGCGCATGGACTCCTGGACGCTCACAGAAGGCGCGTTCTTGCTCGGTCCCCAGTGGTGGAACAGGCCAGCAATCGGGCCCCCTTCCTTCTTTAACAAATCCAAAAGGCAGAGTTACACAGAGGGAGAGGCAGAAAGAGAGGTCATCCATCCACTGGTTCACTCCCCCAAGTGGCCACGACAGCCAGGGCTGAGCCAGGCCAAAGCTGGGAGCCAGGAGCTTCTTCCAGGTCTCCCATGTGGGTGCAGGGGTCCAAGCACTTGGGCCATCTTCTGCTGCTTTTCCAGGCCATAGCAGAGAGCTGGATTGGAAGTGGAGAACTGTTGCCCATGTAGGATGCCAGCTCGGTAGGCAGCAGTTTAACCTGCTGCACCACAGCGCTGGCCCCTCCGAGTCCCTTTTAAAAGGGTACAAGGGGCCTGCATGGTGCCACAAGGGACTATACTGTTGCTTGTGACTCCCAAGTCTCATATCAGAGCGCCAGTTCAAGTCCCAGTTACTGTTTCTGATGCAGCTCCCTGCTAATGCATCTGGAAGGCAGCTGGTGACGGCTCAGGAGCTTGGGCCCCTCCCACCCACAGGGAAGACCCAGATGGAGTTCCGAGCCCCTGGCTTTAGCCTGGCCCAGCCCTTCCTGTTGCAGCCATTTGGGGGCTGAGTCTTGGATGGAAGATCTCGCTGTCTGTGTCTCTGTCGCTCCCTCTCTGTGCCTTTCAAATGAATGAATGAGTGACTGAGTTTGTTTTAAAAGAGGGCACTGATCTCTTCACGAGGATCCACCTGTGTGGCCTCAGCACACCCCCTCCGCTGCCCCACAGGCCCCGCCATCACAGAGGGGATTAGGCTCGGCGTGGGACTTCGGGGCAGGCAAGCTTTCAGACGGTGGCACAGAGGTCCGTGTGTGTCACTTGTGCCTTGAGGTCCACCTGCTGTCAGTGGAGATCACTGATGACCCTTCATGAACACTGAGGAACCCAGATCACACCACCTGCGCCCGCTCCCCTCAAATCTGCTTTTCCCAGTTCAGATTCAGGGTGTTTCTGTGTCTTCTGTCACCCGTGTTTTCAAGGTCTAGCTCTTTCCTAATCTGTGAGGCAGGACTGGACCATGGACTCCACCGTGTAGAATAAGAAGCGATGTCCTCTGCTTCTCTCCATTTCTCCGCACTCCCTTCTCTTGTGGACTTGTCCACTTCTCCCTGTCCCAGCACCACGTCTCAGAACCGGCTTGTTCTCCTCTGCAGCTGTAGCTACCTCTCCCAAGCTGTGTCCGTAGGTAGTCAGCAGAGCCCCAGGGTGTCTGCTGTCCCTGTGGAGCTGCTCGGTGGGGACCCCAGCCCCGCCTCCCTGGTCCTGTGGGCAGTGCAGGTCTCCCCCAGTCACTTGCCTTCGCAGTCTCCGTTCTGGGGCTAACAGGGTGAGATCTATGGAAAAGTCACAACTCAGAGCAGGTTCTGAGCATGCTTCTCCCGCTGTCCAGCGGGGCCCCCAGAGAGCCGGTGTGACCCTTCACTCCTTCTTGGGGCTTGCTAGCCACGTCTCTGACCGCCTCACTGCCCGAGTCAGCAAGGGCATGGAAGAGGGAGGCGGCCTCCCTGCGCCCGCAGGTCCCCGAGTGCCGGGCTCCACTCTGGCTCTCCAGCCCCAGGGGGTTTTCTCTGGCTGCTGCTTGCCCTGCACAGCAGGTGTACCCTGGAGGTACCACTTTCACTCTTCCCAGTGAGTCTCTGGCCCTGATCCTGGACACCTGCAGGCCGGCTTTGCTACTCTCTTCAGGCTCCGAGCAGCTCCTCTTGTTGTTCACAAAAACCCCAGAATGTGGCCTGATCCTGCTGCACACCCCTGCTCAGCACCAAAGCAGATTTCCCAGGGTGGGCTTCGGTGAGCCACCAGGCATGGAAGCATCCACAGCGCTGACATTCATATCGTGGCTTCTGCATAAAACTTCCCATGGGATACCCTGTTGTGTGCAGGGCTTTCTGAACATTCACTGCAGAACAAGGCAGTGTGCCTGGGACCATGGGAAAGAGAAAGAATCGAGTTTCACACAGCTGGAGCCCCGGTCCGCAATACCAAAGCATCAAGGTCAAATAGATCCTCTCGGGTTTAATCCGCTGTCCAAATTCATGTCTTCAACTTGCTTCCTACTTGGACCTGCTTTCTTTGTACCTCTGGTTTCCAGCAATGTCAAGTAATATTCCTTTTTCATTGTTGAAAGAAAAGTTGCTATCTGTTACTCAATCATTGTGCTCACTTTGGCAGCACATATACTGAAGTCAATAATTTCATTATTGAAGACATTTTTCTTGTGGCTCCCTGAGTTATGGTTCTGTGTGTCTGATAGCCCACCCCATGGATGGATGGATGGATGGATGGATGGATCATTGATAGACACATACATAGATGATAGAGAGATACAGAGACAGATGATCCATAATTTATAGACTGATTGATACACAGATGATAGAAATATAGATGATACATAGGTGATAGATACATAACTGATAGATTTGTAGATACATAGATGATAGGTGACACAGGCAGATGACAGATGAGAGACACAAATGATAGGTGGATGATAAATAGATGGTAGAAACATAGATGGCAGATTGATAGATACATAGATGATAGACACAAAGGTAGATGATAGATACATAGGTGATAGATACATAATTGATAGATCTGTAGATACATAGATGATACATAACACAGGTAGATGACAGATGAGAGACACAAATAATAGAGAGGTAGATGATAAATACGATAGAAACATAGATGGTAGATTGATAGATACATAGATGATAATACAGATGATAGCAACACAGATAGATAGATAATGATAGATGGACAGATGATTGACAGACACCATCAGTTCAGTAGCATCCCCTCCCATACTCTAGGAAGCAGTCTGACCCGCTGCTTTCTCTCCCTGTGACCAGGGTTTTTATTCATTTCAGTGGGATGTGAAGCAGACTTCCTTTTCAAATTGGAACAACTTCCCTGTTGTAGAATTATTTAGATTGTAGAAGCAGGGAAGATATCATTTAACCAAACCTCTCTTCTGGGAGATTTGGGTACTTATCATTAGAGAAGATGTATTTTATGGGTAATGTGCTTAGAAAATACTAAATCTACATATCATTAGTGAGGAAAACAAACTTTGGTGGTGATTAAAACAGCTTAACTAAATGAGAAATGGCTTATTTTAATTGTCATCCTCTGGGGCCATTCTTCATGAGCCATTGAAGTTAAGACATTATTCTGTCCACTAAAGCAAGACATTCCTTTTGCCCCAAATTCTCAGCACTGCTGACACTCGTGGGGATTCATGATCACACAGAAGCCTGTGTCAGCCTCAGATTTCTAGTATTTCACCATTTCCAGATATTGATTTGTTCACCGTTTTGTAAGTAAAGTGGGGAAAACTCTGACGAGCATTTAACACACAGGTCTGTCACCAGGGTGCTCCTACTCTGTCGAAACATGAGAACCAAACGCTGACAAAGGAATTTATGTTCAGTTCTTTGTTGCTTTTTGACAAACTGCACTTGGTCTTGCTGCATTAAAAACTGCTTTCCTATACTTCTCATTCCATTAAAATATTGAGCCCCGAAGTTTCTGCCAGACATTTCAGAACGAAGTCATTCATAAAGACGTGTAAAAGCGGAGCACACTGCCTTGTTCCCGAGAGGTGGGGTGACACCTCATGATTGCTGTGAGGACAGAGACGTGGGAAAGACCCTTTGAACCGATGGCTGTGCATGTGGCTTTTCTCTATCTTGAAACCAAAGTTCTACTTTGGCTTGATCATCGATCAAGCCTTCAAGTGTACGTGTAGCTTTTAAGTTCATGTGTACACATGAGAGTACTTCAAACTGTTCATGGAAATGCAAGTGGGACGATAAGTTGGGGCAAGCACCCAGCCTAGCAGTTAGGATGCCATGTCCACACTGGGTACCTGGGTTTGACAGCTGGCTCCAGCTTCCTGCTAACATGGACCCTGAGAGGCAGTGTTGCCGGCTCAAGCACTTGGCTCTCTGCTGCCCATCAGGGAGACTGAATTGAGTGTGGAACTCCTGGCTTCCTCAGCCCCCCAGCTGCAGGCATCTGGGAAGGGAACCAGTGGCTGGGAGTGCTCATTCCCTCACTCACTCCCTCTCTCCCTGCTTTCCCTACCAAGAGAGCAGGAAGAGAGGGAGGGAGAGGGTGCATTTTGATGCAAAGATCTTGGAAATCTCTGCATGGTTTTTTCTTTATATGTACTTTCCGTGAGCTGCTTTCAATAACTCTCCTGTGCATGGATTTCACTTTTTTTTTTTTTTTGCACTAAAATCAACTTACCTTTTAATTTCATTCTGTACCAGTTGTTTGAGGTACCTCATATATGACAAAATGGACTTTAAAAATAGGCAAGGGGAATCTAACCCACTACCTGTTTGTGCCAAAAACACAGGGCCAGGCGGGAGTACTGGGAGAACCTGCAGCCAGCCTCGGGCAGGCCCTTCTGTCCTTCTCTGTCCAAGCCGGATGCCTAAGGAGGGGACAGTGACAGCAGAGCAGGAAGAAGCCACCCTCGGCCCTGCTGCCCCGCTCCTCTCTATCTGCAGCCCCACCCCCCAGCCAGCACCTGCACCCTGTGTGGCTGCCCCAGGAACCCTGTCCCACCCTGTGCCAGCCCATGGTCCCTGAATGCAGCCCTGCACTGTTTGAGATCACCACGCACACAGCCACGCTTGTGTTGGAGGGTGAATCTGACGTCGTCATCCGAAATCACTTAGAAACGAACTGAGACCAGGAATCAGTGCACGACCCTGCTGCGCCTGCTCTGTCGGGGCACCCGCGCCCCTGGCTCGGGCAAGAGGCTCGGGCAGAACCGACATGTGGGACCACCCTCCAAAGCGATCCTTCCTGAAGGAGGCCTGCACTCACGGGTGCTAGGTCCCAGCATCCTAGAACTGCATCTCGTGACCACAGATGGCCACGCCAGGAGCTCTGCCGGAACAGGGCCGCCTCAGACGCTTGTACCTTTCCTTCCTTAGCACCCCGCCAGCCTAATCACAGATGTTCACTCACAGATGAGAGGCGTTGATTATTTACAACAGCAAAAGGAGAAAGAAGATCTTAAAGCCAGATCCCACCTGCCCTGCCTGAATCCTTTCTTGGCTTTCACTTCTGTCCTCCTCTGTCCCTGTCTCTGTTATCCACAACAATGTAAGAATGAGCGGCAAATAATAAAGATACAAATAGTGCACTTGTTACACTGCTTCAAACTGTTTTAAATTCCATGGCATTCTTTGTATTAATATTACTCACTAGGTCCTTGTACTTCTCTCATGATTAAGCCACCTTATATGTAATACAGATAATAGGTAAGATTGCAATGACCAGGGCTGGACCGGGCCAAAGCCAGAAGCTTCTTCCAGGTCTCCTACATGGGTGCAGGGACGCCAGCATTTGAGGCAGCTTCCACGGCTTCTCCCAGGCCATTAGCAAGGAGCTGGATCAGAAGTGGAGTAGCTGGGACAGGAACTGGCACCCATGTGGGATGCTGGCATCACAGGCAGCTCCAACCCCTACACCACAGCATCAGCCCAGAGACAGTGTCTCCAACACGGTGGTTCACAGGCAAAGAAACAGCTGTGTAGTGAGGCCAAGTGACTTTTCAGAGGCCACCGCACGTTTAGTGGTGTGGATTAGAACGCACGTGGTCTGGCCCTGGAACCCACGTCCCAGCCACTCTCCGAGTGCAGGTGTATCCGTGGCCGAGCTACAGGGGTTCAGCATCACCTCTCCATCTCAGGAAGCCGTTGCTGTAACCCAGGGCACTGGAATCCCAGCTGTGCTCCCACCGTGCACTGCCCACCCCGGTGGGAGTCCTGGGGGTCGGTCACATCAGGCGCTGATGGGGGGTGGAGCACCCCCGCCTGTAGCCCGCGCCACCTGCAGCAGGGCCACCAGCCTCTGTTTGCAGCTATTGGGGGAAGTCACACCTCACGATCATTTTTCCTTGCTAGGACTGCTCTCACTCTGGGAAGCTTATTCCATGTGTCCGGCCACAACCTCTCCCTGTTGGGCCAGATAATAGACCCTGAACGGCCCTGGAACAAACGCACGGCTTCTCCCACATGCTGCCTCTTCAGACGCTCACAGATCGCCGTTAGGGCTTTCCTAGGCTTGTGCTGCCTCATTCTCTCTAACCTGAAAGGCACAGTGTTTCACCGTGTGCTTTGCCACACACCGCGTGTGTGCTAAGAGACAATCTGAATTTCCCTATTTGTGGAATGGGGGTAACCATGGAGCCATCTTCACCCCGGCACCCTGACCACCAGCTGTGATAGCAAGAACCTGGGGAGCAGGGCCCGGAGCGTGGCAGACCCTCGCTCCCTGTTGGTTTCCAATCCCCTCGTCCTCACCGGGGCGCTTACCCGGGCACACCTTGTTGGCAAAGCCTCTGCTCGTGACTTGTGCCTGGTCCTGAGCAGCTCCCTCCAGGAGTGCCCCTGCTCACGCGGTACCTGCCTGCCGAGTGGGTCAAGCATAAGTGAAGGGGTTGGTGCACAGTGCTGGGAGAGGAGTGGGAGAGCTGCTGTCCCCTGAGTCCCTACCCTGGGCCTGCACCTGCACCAGCTGAGCCCTCCCTGTAGTCTCACACTGCACAGTCTGGAAGCCTGGAGGGGATGGTGTTGTGGCATAGCCGGTAGAGCTGCCACCGGTGATGCTGACATCCAATGCGAGGGCTGGTTCAAGTCCTGGACACTCCACTTCTGCTCCAGCTCCCTACTAATGGCCTGGGGGAAAGCAGCAGAATATGACCCAAGTGCTTGCCCCTTGTGAGAGACCCGGATGAAGTTCCTGGTTCCTTGCTTCCACCTGGCCCAGCCCCAGTCATTGTGGCCCTCTGGGAAGTGAACCAGTGCATGGAGGATCTCTCCTTCTCTCTATAACTCTGCCTTCCAAATAAATAAATAAATAAATCTAATAATAATAACGAATGGTATACGTAGGTGGTGTTGCAGTGTTGTTAAATCTAGTTCCATTGCCCCATAAAAAAGGGGAAATCAGCTGAGGTCCATACCGACAGTTCGTTTAGACTTAGAGAAAAAGTAAAGGTGTTCATCAGACTCCCAGATGGACAGCTGTGGTACATACAAAATAAGTGTGTGTTGGAAGGTGCTAGTCCCAGGAGTGGCACGGCCTGAGAGACATGAGTAAGGACAATCACAGGGAAAGTGAGTGGGAAAACGACTTGCCGGCCAAGAGTCACAGGGAAGGTGAGACCCGGTGCCACGGTGGCCAGGGCTGCAGGGCGGAGCCCGGGCCAGCCACTGAAAGTTTGCTCGGGGAGTGCATTCACGGCCCCAGTGTGCGTGCAGCTCTGCTCTGAGGACTCAGACCCGAGCACTATCGATGGGACAAAAGTCGTCTACTTTGTTAAACACACAGGTTCACTCCAGAAGTAGCAAGTGCAATGCCCTGGAGTTGATGTTGACGGGACCAGAGTTGATAGGACTTGCAGCAGAGAGACCCTAGACCCATCAGGTAAAATTTCAAAAGCGAGTTCCTGTCCTGAATGTGCGTAGGTCATGGTTGGGTCACACTTTAAGCAATCATGAAGGTGCACTGAGGGACAGTATTTCGAGCAACACAGCTCCTACCACAACTTGAAAAGTGTGCCCTACGTGAAGTCCAGAGAGTCTGCCCAGTTCCTGTCCTTATTCACCGTGCTCCAGAAATGATATACATGGGGTATTTATGTGATGCTAAGTGTTAGAAAAGCAAAACCAAACTGCTTATTCTGTGCAGATGTGATGGTTTCAGAGCTCGAAATACCACAAGGGGAGAATTCAGTATTGTGTCTAGCTGAAAATGTTTTATACAAAAGTCACTGCTTTTCCATACACACTGACAACTGATTTGAAAGCATACTGAAAAAAAGCGGTCTATTTTACATTTTTACCAAAATGATTACATATCTAGGGAAAGCATTAGTGAGAACCACACAAGAGCCACTGTAGAGACTGCGGGTGCCGCTGAGCAAGACTGAATAACCCTGTGCAGGAAGACAACAGCCGGGCGTCAAGTTGCTCTAACGTGATTGACAGGGTGACGGAATCCAGATGAAAAGCACCATTGGCACTGAGGGGGCGTGGACATGCAGGCGCTGGGGTTCCCGGAAAGCCAGGAAAAAGGAGAGCGAGGAAGGCATGGGCTCAGCAGATGAGTGTGTGTAACAGAGTAACTAAACCACTGCTTACTTGTATAAAAGCTGGTGCAACCGAATACAGTTAATATGTAACAGAGGGGAACCTCAGAGCAGTGAGCAGAAATCCAGTGGTTAATCATCAGGGACAACTGGTCAACCATGTGGGAGTAAAAGGGTGCATCTCTTAGAGTAAGTTCCAGGTTGGTCAAAGATTGGGTCATAAATCTATAAAAGAAACCAGTGAATAAATTCTCCCAAATAAACACCACCAATACAAACAACACCAAATACTCCACACAAAGGTCAAGTCGAATGGGAAAATGTGGGTCAGGGTCAGGAGTGGGTCTTTCAGTACAGGGGTCTTGAGCTGTGTCAGAGCAGCCTGCCAAGCCCTGCACCTGAGTGACTGGTGTTCAGAACTCAGCACCCGGCTGTCTCGGGCTCCCCGGTGTTGGGAGAGGGGGCTCCACCAGCGGGGTCTCCCCAGTCAACACCAGGGCTGTCACGCTCACCCTGCCTGGCCGTCACTGTTTCAGGTGCAGGAGGTAACTCCTTGAATCACCCGCCCCAGGAGCCCCAGGGCAGCTGGTGGCGCTCACGGGGGGGCTGGGTGACGGCTCTGCAGGTGCTGACCCAGAGCAGCAGCAGCTTCGGAACGTTCACACGCTCCCCAAAACGTGCACCCGCAGGGCCCAGCCGTGTCCCGTGGGGATGAGTCCTCAGCTCCCGTGCTCACCTGCACTCCACGCTGCCTCCCCCCGCCCACTGGAATGCGTCTGCACTCCATACTGCCTCCCCCCTGCCCACCGGAATGCGTCTGCACTCCACACTGCCTCCCCCCTGCCCACCGGAATGCGTCTGCACTCCACACTGCCTCCCCCCTGCCCACAGAATGCATCTGCACCCCACACTGCCTCCCCCCTGCCCACTGGAATGCATCTGCACTCCACGCTGCCTCCCCTCTGCCCACTGGAATGCATCTGCACTCCACACTGCCTCCCCCTGCCCACAGAATGTGTCTGCACTCCACACTGCCTCCCCCTGCCCACAGAATGTGTCTGCACTCCACACTGCCTCCCCCCTGCCCACAGAATGCGTCTGCACTCCACACTGCCTCCCCCTGCCCACTGGAATGCGTCTGCACTCCACACTGCCTCCCCCTGCCCACTGGAATGCATCTGCACTCCACGCTGCCTCCCCCTGCCCACTGGAATGCATCTGCACTCCACACTGCCTCCCCCCTGCCCACCGGAATGCGCATATGCCTCTCGCTTTGTTGTCACAGGGATATCGTGCCCACAGCCATGGGAAACGGAGGCCTCGTCCCTCAAAGCGCCCCT